CCACAGATGACTTGCTCCTGGGAGAAGAAGACTATAGCTTGCCAGTTCTTCTGAATAATAATAAAGTTAATTTAAACTAACATTATGTTATTAATCCTTACCCTAATTCTAATTTGTAAATGACTTATATAAAAATTGATAATAATTGCAATTCACTTAAATCTAATTCAAACCATAACAGTTGTTGTTCATGAAACTAATGATATGAATAGCGCCTCAACCACTACTGTACCTGGTGTATCCAAGCTGATCTGATGAGCCCTAGTATTTCGGCCTCGTTCGTTCTCGACTTCAATACGAGTTTTTTCGAGTGCGATTTGTTTGAGTTTTAGCTGAATCTCTAATCTATCTTTACCACTCAACCCCGATTGGCTAGTAGGGACACTAGAGTATTACCCTAATGCTTCCTCGGGCAACAAATCATCATCGACTAGTATTTCGATAATACGCTTTTTTAGTTCATTTTTCTCGGACATAGAATTGTTTTATGTCACATTTTGTTTTTCAGCACGAGGAGTGAACTAATTGTTCTTTCAATGTTTTCATGTTGTGTTGATTGTCAGTTGGGATTGTTTAATGGTTTTACGAATTTTTGTTATCATTGTGTTGCGTATGAAAGAAATGCTTATTATAGATATGTTTTTGTGTGTCTTTTTTGTTTTCGGGTTTGTTGTTATTGTATTGTTTATATATATAAAGTGGTTTATTAGAAATTCATTTTATAATAAACGTTGATTGAAAACAAATTAAGTGTGTAGCAGGATTGTGTTATATTTGAAACAGGACTTTGATTAGCAATTCAAGGTCGGAATTACCATTATAAAGAATGGTGAATCCTGACTGAGTTATCGGATGTCCAGTTTCATGTATGTGATTCCGGATCGCCAAATTGGAAGGACTTAAAAGAATATTACCTGATCTAAGTGATATTCTCATATGCTGGTGCATACGAACAGTAAAATGCTGACAACCTTTCAGTCACCACACGTGTATTTATAAATAATCAAAAACTCAGAGAGAGATATAGACGATCCTTTGTTTTAAAGAGATTTTTAATCTAAAGGACGGTTTAAGATGATGTTCAGTTTGATCTCTGAGCAACCCTTTCTTATTAAAGATATATGTTGCCTAGAAAGTATAATACATTTTTGTCCTAGGTAAGGGATAGTGAATGAAACTGGGCATTTATCAACTGTGAACATTTTTATGTGAGTTTTAAATCCTTTATTCAGAAATATCCTGTTAGGCTTTAATCATTTTCTAAGGGTATCCATTATACAATAATATGTAATTGAGAAAAAACAATCTGGGGGTGTAAAGTGGAATAAGTTGAACAGATCTTAAAGGCTCGAGTCAGTAAACATGTTGTTAGATTGGTCTCGTATCCTACAGGAATGAAACTATTAAACTGGGTGAGCTGTCACGTGAATATTTTCTTTCAATATATCGGCGTTCAGAAACTTTGATCATCTCGAGTAGTTAGCACATCTACAAAAACTAAGAATTCTTTTCTTCAATTTCAAGGTAAACTTTATTATAGACGAGTGTTGCGTTTAAGTACTCAAGAAACTGTTGAACGTCGTCCTTTGATCGAAAAATGACGAAAGTGTCGTCAACGTAGCGTTTGTAAAATATTGGTTTGAATTTCAGTGGGCAGTTGATCAAGGAGGATTATTCGTGATGGCTCAAAAAATTTTATCTAGAGTTTGTCCTGGTGGAGATTCCATAGCCACTCAATCAATTTGGTCATATAGTTTTACATTAAAACAAAATGGTTGTTCTTTACAGAGTGGATAATTAAGACTCCTCTTCAAAGAGTTTTTTCAAACAAATGTCGATGGCCTCATCCAATGGAATATTTGTGAATAAAGAACTTATATCAAAACTACCCATAAAACATTCATTGGGAGGGTGTAGGTCTTTAAACTCTTTTAAAAATGAGGATGAGGCCGCCTATATCGAGAAAAGTAAACAACATTTTACCGTTCGCATCCACGAGCACATGGGAGAATCATCTAGGTCAGATAACATCATTTTAAGTCCATCCAATCCTGCGATCCGGAATCACAAACCTGAAACTGGACATCCGATGACTCACTGAGGATTCAACATTCTTTGTAATGGTAATTCCGACCTTGAACTGTTAATCAAAGAAAGTGTATCCATAAAAAAAGGTCTCTGTTTTAAACTTAACACACTTAATTCGTTTTTGTTTTGTTTTGTGATTTGAAAACATCACTTATGTAGTTTTCAGGTTATCTATTTTGTAATAGCAATGTTTAAGGTATCTTCGTGCTGCTTGAATGGCATTAGGCGTGGCGTAAGTAAGCTAGACTATTTAGCCCCGGAGCTGGACAAGTGACCACAGCGTCATCAGGAGAAGTCTACATCTATGTAAAGTAAAAGAAAAATGTTGGTCAGCCAAACCCTTGCGTTTATGAGTGCTAGCTGACATGAAAATCCAATATTCCTATTGGATAATTCTACGGTGGACTTTTAAATTTATTCAAGTGCAAAAGTGAACATTTAACGTGCATTCTTTTATACGAGTACAAAATTACGACGTTTATAGCGTTAACTTTAAAGACTATTACTTCAGTAACATAAACAAACACACAAGGAAACAGTCTCCACACGTGTATGAGTATACTTATACTTAAGACTAATAACATTTCTTAAACTATAACAGGTAGAAAACGGCACACTACAATTCATGAGATTTTTAAATATGTTACTTATTTTTGTCCTCCGGTTGTATAGCGGCAGGTTTATAGTCTGATAATCATAATATTGGGTTAGGTTCCCTGCAGTGCACATAGCAGATAGTTTAATGTGGCTTTGCTCTAAAACAAACAAATAAATGCCTATTTTTGTGGAAATGCCCTTAACATATGGAAGCATATCCTCATAATATCTAAATAAGTATTCTCGTATAATTCACTAAATTGTTATATGTTCAACTTATTGCAAAACATATTATATATCATTCAAAAATTCATCTCCGACAATAAATCCCTAAAAACAAACACAAAGAAAATAATTCTTGACTAGAGGTTGCATGAGTCCTTGTGTGGAGGTATGGCAATCGAAAACTGATTTCTGTACATCAACACTGAAAGAAAACCCTTTTTCTGGTTTAACAGTTATATCCAAAAAATCCTAATAAACCCCCCTTTCTAATTGGAACTGAATGTAAGTGCAGACCGAATTTATATGCTTTTTAAAGTCCATGAGCATATTGTTGCCACACAAGAAACTTATCTAGATTTCTCATTCACACAGCTGGTTTGAATAACGCAGTATTTAAAGCACTGGCTTGAAAGTCATGCATAAACAGCTCAGACAGAAGTCACGTGACGCTGCTGGCGCATGCGTGACTGAATTTCTCGAATTATCAGGGAACTGGTGAGAAAAACCAGCGGAGTTAAGCGAACAGTAGTTACCGTGAGTTTCGGGTAATTTACGATACTGTTTCGAGTTAGTATGTGTTTTGCACTCGTCGAGAGCGAAATTGTCGAGATAGTGAACCACTGTGATTTATAGCGTGTATTATAAAAGTTGTTAAGTTTAAAGTGACGAGAAAGGTACTGACTGTGTAATTACTGTGTACTACAAGTTTGTATCGAGGAAGAATAAACTGATTTAATCAAGAAAGGACTTGTATCGCTGAATATCCTCGGAAATAATTTCTACCGGAAACAAACAAACAAGCAGATACATAACAATATATATATATATATAATGTGTGTGTGTGTGTGTGTGTTTCATAATTATATTGTTGGAGGTCAATTGTAAATACATTGCTAACGTTTTCTGTGTGTTTTAGAAGTAAGATTGGGCACGGGTCTAGCATTTCTTAAGTTTTGTTTTGAAGCGATTTTGGTGAATGGATTTCTAACCGAAATATCCTGAACAGGAACAAATGGTAGCGGACGTGTTTTTTATGTAAAATGGCAAAAACTAAACGTTTTCAAGATAACTGCGTAATCGTATTCTGTTGTTGTTTTTCTGCAGAAAATAATTCTCTTTCCTGCTAACTACTTTGGGTAAGAGAAATCAGTAGATATCATTAAAAAAGTATTCCACTCATAATTTATCGTTAAATAGCTCTATAATCGCAGTTTGCCAGTAATAGAAACTTTATACAGTGACATGTAAGATCAAATCTCTTACCAGTAGTAGAGACTTTATACAGTGACATGTAAGATCAAATCTCTTACCAGTAGTAGAAACTTTATACAGTGACATGTAAGATCAAATCTCTTACCAGTAGTAGAAACTTTATACAGTGACATGTAAGATCAAATCTCTTACCAGTAGTAGAAACTTTATACAGTGACATGTAAGATCAAATCTCTTACCAGTAGTAGAAACTTTATACAGTGGCAGTCAGGGCCCCCACTTCATAGGCGGAAGTTGACATGCCACCATGACACATGAAGACGGAAGCTGGGGAGAGGAGTGATGTCATCAAAGATGAAGACGTCATAGTTCCTAAAGTTGCTAGGGACGCGATACTAGGTCGCCATAATGGATAATTACGTAATAGTACCACAAAGTAGAGAACCTGTTTCTAGGCCACCATGATAGGCGGTCATGACTCGTACAATACATGTCTCATCATGTCGATAATTAATCATTAATTAATTAGATTGTTCCTAAAAAGGATGCTTAACTCTAATTCATTAAATCACTTATAATTAATTCGTCTTTATAAGGACGCTTAACACTAATTAATTAGTTAATTCTAAAAAGGACAGTGAATGTTAATTCATTAATTAGTAATTAATTCATCCTACCACAAAGTAGAGAACATGTTTCTAGGCATCCATGACTCATACAATCCATGTCTCAAGAAAAATATAATTAATCACTAATTAATCAAATCATCATAAAAAAGGATGCTTATGACTAATTCATTATTTAATTAATTCGTTCTAAAAGGGTGCTTAACACTAATTCATTAAATCTTTTATAATTAATTCGCTCTAAAAAGGATGCTTAACACTAATTAATTAAGTAATTTATAATTAATTCGTTCTAAAAAGGATGCTTAACACTAATTAATGAAGTAACTTATAATTAATTTATTAAATAATTTATATTTAAATCAAGTCCTGAAAAAGGACGCTTAACACTAATTCATTTATAATTAATTCATCCTTAAAATGTCATTATATTTCCTTATCATTCATTAGTCCTACAAGGACAATACGATAATTAAAACTTACTCAATCAAGTGATTAAAGATTTTTAGTACTAAATTATTACATTTCCTTTCCTAAAAGGACTATATCTTACTCAATTTGACGCATACAATTCATGACTATAGGTTTAAATCGCCCTAAAAATGACACATCATACAATAATTAACAATTATACTTTTACTAATTTGACTTTATATAACAAATTACATTGTCAATAAAACGTTTATTATGTAATAACACTTTTACTAATTTAATTTTATACAACAAAATAATTTAGACATGTTTTACAAAGGTGGACTTTTTTAAATAATTTGACTTTTTAAGTTTTTTTTATGATATTAAATTTTAATTCATCTAAACAAATCTTAAATATTATTGTCAGCCATCATTCAGATCTGAATCATCCGGAAGTTTGACTCCACCGAAAGATGACTTATGAGTGTCTCTGATCTTAAGGAAGGGTGAAGTGTACATAATGTTAGCCTTTTAGTGTGTGCCACTGTGCTGACGTACTCTTTGGACTAGACAGCATATCCTGCCAGTGTTGTATGCCTTGGTCGGTTAAGCAGTGAGCGCCTACCTGGGTCCGGCCAATAACGCGCTTTCCTCCAAAAGCAGCGTTATCACATAGTGATACCACAAGATCCACGTTACTCAATGCCGACTGAGGAAGCTGAATATTGAAACTGTCCGAAAACTCAACATCCGAGGTCTTTTTCTTGGAACACGTCTTTTTAGTTCGAACGAGTTTGTTTCTTACATATAAAGAAACTTTCACGAAGACAGCTGTAAGTAAAAACAGAGAAAAGTTGTTATTTGTTACTAATTGAGCATAGCTTCATAGAACAAGTTTAATAGGTTCTAGATGGATGAGGCAGTGATTTTAAGCGAGCATGTTTAAAAGATTGCCACACATTTTGTACTGGGGAGGGGTGGGAAGGAACTCCCTTGAGGTACTCAATAAGAGGTGAAGCTGGTTCATACCCATAAGTTGTATTTTGGTGTTCCAGGTTATAATTATATACTATTTTTTCTGGTTTTACATAAAGGGAATGACAGTATCGGAGGTTTGTAGCAAAAAGACAGTTAAAAGGGTAGAGGAGTGAATGCATCTTTGTTGGGTTTTTTTTGGGGGAGGAGAAAATTAGTTTAATATAAGTTAAATTATCAAAAGATTTTCGTGATGTTCAGAGAGACAAAAGCTTCTCACCTGTTCCTCGTTCTTTGTCCTCTGTTGGGATGATACGTGCTTTCAAAACCCCTAAAGTAAGCACTGCAGTGCTAGGGTTGTAGCATAGAGTTAGCAGAAGCTCTACGTTCTGGTGACCTCTCTGCTGCAAAGAAACATAATATTTATTTTCATTATTTAAAGCCTGTATATGATTTGAAAATTATTTGTACATGTTCAGACTTGGTTTGTATTGGAGAAATTATTTTTCTTAACTTTGTTTAGAGCAAACTGTAGTTTATTACACCGAAGACATTTCTATTAATGTAAACAAAATAACGACCTATATCTCTAGAATGTATCTTTATTGTATTTCATTATTACATATTCGTCAGGAGCTGTCGATATCCTACATGTTCGCTAATCCAGTGAAAACTAAATTAAAACACTGTCATCAATTGTTCGAACATTGAAACATCAGATCACATTAAATATAATATCAAATATATTGAAATTGTTTAGATAAACGTACCCTTAACGTGGATTAAATGATAATGTTCAGTTTAGTTTCAACTGGATTATGGATTTGCAGGCTACCGATAACTCCCGACGAAGCTGTAATAGCGAAATACTGAGCCAATAGAGATACATTCTGGATATATGGGTAGTTATTTTATTTACATTAATAAAAGTGTATCGGGGAAAATCGAAAAAATTTTCTTCCTTTGAAGTCATTAAATCAAATTAAATTATAATCTGGTGTTAATAGCCATCAAAGCGATACGTTAGTAATGAAAAATATTAGATTAGATGTTTTTCACAATCATTAGTTTCAGTTCTTCACGCATGTAAAATTATTGTTTTAAGTGTACTTTCCCGCTATCTCGTGGACCAAACAATTTCCCTTATACCAGGAGAAAAGGAATACTTGGGTTTAGAGTAGAAAAGGCTTCGTGCCTTAACGTGGGTAGATGGGCTTCATCGCCCTTATGACATCTTTCTCTTGATGTTTATTATCTGTATTTGAATGTTGTCTAAAGATATCGGTACTTACACTCGTATTCAGTTATATTTAACTGACTCTAAAATGAGTAATGTATGTTGTGATTGGTGGTTTGTTTAACCGCGACATGACACGTTTTTTGTTTCCTTTACAACCGTTTTGAAATTTTTTTGTTCAGATTATTATCACTATATAGCTGAATTTGTTTGCTGTATTATTTTTTAACTCAATATATAATTCAATTGCTCTTAAAATCAGAACATATACATAACTCAGTTACTCTTAACCTCAGTAGCATATATGTATATATTATTACAAAAAATATTTGCTCAGTGTAGCTGCTCCTGTTATTTTTTATTCTAAAAACATGTGGTCGTTTTACGTGTACTTTTCTACACCTAAAAGAAGTAACCGTACAAGTAAAATGCTTCATGTTCTTACTTATTTATTGTAGCAAAGGATAAAAACAAAGAGTAAAATGATGTTGAAATAAATATTTTGTGTATTGTCCTTTTAAAACATTTCATTTACTTTTATGGTTAATTCAGTTTTAGAAGTTATGAGAAATGGTTTTCTATTAAACAAAACAAAAACTGTAGAGCTGTCTCAAAGCCGAAATAGTTTAATATGATTCTGCAGAATAAGTAGATAAGTTTTTTTAATTCTTTGATCTTATTTTATGTCATTTATTTTTCACCACAGAAGCTAGTTAGAACTTCTACACCTGTTGCATGTTGTTGTTGTTGCAAGATTGGATAAATATTGTAATATATATATATATACGTTACCCTAGAGGTACTGACTGATCGATGGATTTGGCAATATTGGAAAAAATACATATATTTTAATCCTATATCGACCTATTCATCCGTGGGAAAAATCTGTGAGTTTCTTAGTTAACACCTGTGGGATTTCGACAGCTGCTAAACTTTACGTTGCTTACGTTTCGTACATATACCAAATCAATTGCATAATTTTGAAGGAGTCTAACAATGCTTGTCAAATACTATTAATCAATAGAATGTTTATGTTAAGAAAAGGTTCTTTTTAATTATTTGGTTTTCACCAAAGTCCAGTAAACGTAACGATAACAAACTAAATTATTTCAAACGACACTTGTGTAAAACAATCTATTTAAAAATAAAACAAAAACTATCCGCCTTTCCAACATTTGTGGTTAGAGCCTTTAAAATATTCACTTATGATTGTGATGTGAAAGCAGAGTTAAGTATGTTAAAACATGTAGCCAGAGACAGAGGATATAAACTCGATATTATTGACAGATTGCATCATAAACATATCAATGTCATGACAGTTTGAAAACAGCATTTGGATATATGCATACTAAAAACTGAATTAGTTACAGTACTAATTTATGTTAGGTTAATGTACACTTGTGGCTATGTTACGTTAATGTACACTTCCAACCTGCTCTAGGTTACTCTACAGTACTAATTTATGTTAGGTTAATGTACAATTGTAAGTTATCTTACATCAATGTACACTTCCAGTTTGCTCTAGGTTACTCTACAGTACTAATTTATGTTAGGTTAATGTACAATTGTAAGTTTTGTTACGTTAATGTACACTTCTAACCTGCTCTAGATTACTCTACAGTACTAATTTATGTTAGGTTAATGTACACTTGTGGCTATGTTACGTTAATGTACACTTCCAACCTTTAGAAATGTGCAGTAACATAAAGAAATTTGTAAATGTGAGTAACCTAGAGCAACTTGGAAGTGTACATTAACATAACATAACTTACAATTGTACATTAACCTAATATAAATTAGTACTGTGGAGTAACCTAGAGCTAGTTGTAAGTGTACATTAATGTAACATAACTTACAATTGTACATTAACCTAACATAAATTAGTACTGTAGAGTAACCTAGAGCAGTTGTACTAATTCACTAGTAGAGGACAATATCCCATGGTTCTATCCAAAACATCACTCGTACAAGATTATATCTCATGTTAGTTGTACTAATTCACTAGTAGAGGACAATATCCCATGGTTCTGTCCAAAACACCACTCGTACAAGATTATATCTCATGTTAGTTGTACTAATTCACTAGTAGAGGACAATATCCCATGGTTCTGTCCAAAACCACTCGTAGAGGACCTAAAGTAAATTGGAACTGCACAGTAAACTAGAGTAACATCATGAGATATAATCTTGTACGAGTGGTTTTGGATAGAACCATCAGATATTGTCTTCTACTGGAGAATTAGTACAACTATCATTAGATATAATCTTGTACAAGTGGTTTTGGATAGAACCATGGGATATTGTCTTCTACTATTGAATTAGTATAACTATCATGAGATATAATCTTGTACGAGTGATGTTTTGGATAGAACCATGGGATATTGTCCTCTATTAGTGAATTAGTACAACTATCATGAGATATTATCTTGTACTAGTGCTTTTGGATAGAGCCATGGGATATTGTCCTCTACAAATGCTTTAGGATGACTATCATGGGATATTGTATTCTATGTGTGCTTTAGGACAACTACCATGGGGTGTTTTTCCTTACTTTATTAGAGCAAAAATTGACTTGGAGTTACTGTTTCAATTATAATTTCTGATATTTAAGATATTTCATTATTTTGAAATAATTATATTACCGATTTACATAAGAATATGATTCTACACATTATGCTTATTTCCACAAAATGAATTATGAAATAATATTACAATCTTGCAATACGGAAATGAATTAAATACATAGTTACATTACACCCAAGAAACTTAAAAACGACTAAAAATGTGTTTCGAGCTTAAGCCTTCCATTAAAACTGATTTTTATTTCTATTTAACTTACAATAAAAAGGCTGTCTTTAATATAAAATACCATTTTAACAAAGCAACGTAACTTTCTTTTTACATCTGCCCCCCAGTGGCACAGCGGTATGTCTGTGGACTTACAACGTTAGAAATCGGGTTTCGATACCCGTGGTGGGCAGAGCACAGATAGCCCATTGTGTAGCTTTGTGCTTAACTACAAACAACAACTTTTTACATCTCGAGACTGTAAAATTAAAAAAACAAAAGACACGTTTTGTACAGTCTAACACTGGTTATTTATTAAATTAAGGAACATTTGCACTGAAATTTACATCTCGTGAATACAGAGAGCTGAGTACGTTATATTAAAACGATTTTAAACAGACATGATTTGACCACCATTGCCGATATAAGGTTACTATGATAAGGCATGTATCATAACTACAATATGGCATTATTTGGTGTTCACAGGTAATGTGATGCCGCAAAAAGACTGACCGTTTTGGGAAAGTGATATGTAACAACCCTTTTTTGACGCAAAATATTTATACACGCAGATCATAAGGATGTGTTCGGATAGAGGATTCGGGGATTCCAAGATATGAATATCCTTGTACTTAATGTGATTGGAAAATAATATAATATGGATCAACTTAGAGATCAGGGCCATCCAGAGAGAGACAGGAAACAAGTCGTATAACAGACGTAATAAGCAAAGTGCCGCATCTTATAACAGGTGCGAATCCACGAACACAGAGATCAAATAAAAGACATCCACGTGACCCAGACAACAGTGTGCAACATAGTGAAGAAGTGTCTCCATGAAGAAAAGTGACAAAAATTACGTGTACACAAGTTCCTTCCATAGCATATCAGTTCGATAATCGCATACCTCAAGCAGCTGGATAATGCTAATCCTTACGAAATCATACGGGTTAAGTTACCAGATGCAATACCTATGTATTTCTGTGCTGCCAAAATCGTGGATCGTGCTCTAGGAAACTGTCGTTCTCATATACAAGATTGTATAAGGAACGAAGCAGAGAGGAGGGTGTGTAATTTGGACGAAACAACATTGCGACTGAGCTTTTTGTAATTAAACCACTCTCTAAAGTTATTGTAAAGATGAGTGGTTGTCAGACATGGGCGTAGCAACATGAAATGTAGTGACGTGGTGAAGTTCTAAAACCGTTTTAATTTAACGAATATATGTTTTTCTTAAAATACAAAAACGTAAACTTGCATTCTTGAGAAGATCAATATTTTTTTCGTGAGGATTACTTTAAGAATAACATTACAACTCAACTATACCATCAATTTTTGAATTTTTACTCTAAATCTATATATTGCTAAGCTACTTACAGGCTTAGGTTGCAAGTTACATAAGATGTCATTCGTTTTGACGTCTTCTGAAATTTGAGAATCGATACCGGAATTTATCAAGGGATATATAATTTGACCAATCAGAAACTTTCGAGAAAATCTGTCGTAGTCCCAAATGGTAATCTTTACAGCTTCATCAACTAAATGTGCTGGTGTCACGTTAAAAACAAAGGATTCATTGAACACTGGGTTAGCTGTCTTCTTATGAACTTTAGTCACAAACTTGAGTGATTTTTCAGAAGCCAGCGCAACTTTAGCAAAAGGACTCGTTACATGTTTGGAGTTGTTGGAAGTCAAATCCATGGCACCGTTGAGTCTCACACAGAGCTGCTGACAAAGGATGTTGTAGTGTAGGGAGAAAGAGACTCTTCCACTTCCAGTGTCTGAGCCTCCTCGCCCAGGGTCTGCTTTATATAATGCTTGTTCCAGTTCCGTCGGATCAATGTGAAGGCGATCAATGATCGACTTTCGTCTCATGTGATCTTCCCCATCGGACAAGGAGTAACGATTAGCGGAAGACTCGCTTTCCGAAAAAGAGTCTTCCGCTGCTTCGCTGTACACAGGAATCGTGGGGACAACAAACTGGATAGGTTGATCCGCGCGTATCACACTTATAGACCTTGTTTTGGATACCGAAGGGGTCACCTCTGCCAGCTGTCGGGCTTTCCTTCGTCGCAGAGCGATACACCGACAAAAGAAAAACAAGAATGCGCTCGCAAGCAAGCCGCTAGCAACGATAATTGGTAATAATACTGATAAGGACAATGTTTGCAGTGTTGACTTCGGCAACACTTCGTTGTCAGTCATTTCTTATAGATTCTTAATGTGATCCTCAATCACTACAATCCAGTTGACGGTAAAACTGTTGTGTACACCAATAACAAAATGCCAGAACATTTGCTCGACCAAAATATAACCATACATGTCAGCTTTCACTAGTCCTTGATCTGCACGCAACAGTTTCTGTTCTGGGCCTGTGAATCACATCGGATAAAATAACAGGTGTCTACAGTTCTTCTTGCGTTTTGACGTCATTGCTCGAGACTGATATGATATACAGCTGTGTAAACATATTATGTCGCAACTGTTGAACCACTTCACCTGGAGGTTGCGTGAAAAATTAGAGGTATAGGTCACGAAATTCCGTCAGACCTGTGTAACAACAGTAGATATGATACTCCTTGAACTTCCGGTCAGGCAACATACTGGAGAATGTAACGAGACACGGATGACGTAAGAAACATGTTATCAGCCTTCAGTGAGTGATGTGTTCGTAACTAAATAACGTAAAACCTTTGCTCATATCACGAGGTAATACTCACCTTTAACATAAACCATAACAAAATAACTTAGTTTTCACACTGGTGAAGACATAACAAAACGGTCAAACTACAAATTCAGATCATTAAAAAGTTTATATGGGGAATCACGTATAACTCAAAATATCAGAACCTATAAAACTTAATAAGCTAGAATGTTAAAACTCAAAGTTTTATAGACTTTCGAAATGATAGAATTAAAACAACAAAAGTTCAACGACAAAACTAAAAACTTTATAAACTATGATATTTGCAACGTTGAAACTACAATTCTCAAAGTGTAACAAACTACAAATAATGAAAGTCAGAACACACGAAATTTTAGAAACTAAAAACTTAAAATGTAAAAAAAACACAACACATGAATTGTTAGAAACGATAATAATCAAAACTTTAGCAATTACAAAAATTGATGACATTTTGGCCACATTTTGTTTTAGTTAGCCTCCCCTTCCCTCCTGAAAGACAAGTACTTGATTTTGTCTGCAGACGATTTAACTGCTAATGTTGGACAGGAGTACAAATACAGAGACAAGTAGCAGTTCCTTTTCGTATGTTTTGGTCGGAAGTGGTAGTGGGAAGACTGTGGACATACCTTTCTCCAGACAACTAGGACAAGGTCAACAACTTCACATAAAGAAATATCAGGCAACAATTATAGACTAAGTGGTCATAACGAATCACCACTCTACTATCTATAGACTCAGTGTGGATTGTAAAACACAACATGGTCATAACGAATCACCACTCTACTATCTATAGACTCAACGTGGTTTGTAAAACACAACATGGTCATAACGAATCACCACTCTATAATATATAGACTCAATGTGGATTGTAGAACACAACATGGTCATAACGAATCACCACTCTACTATCTATAGACCCAATGTGGATTGTAAAACACAACATGGTCATAACGAGTCACAACTCTACAATATATAGACTCAATGTGGATTGTAGAACACAACATGGTCATAACGAATCACCACTCTACTATCTATAGACTCAATATGGATTGTAGAACACAACATGGTCATAACGAATCACACTCTACAATATATAGACTCAATGTGGATTGTAAAACACAACATGACCATAACGAATCACCACTCTACTATCTACAGACTCAATATGGATTGTAGAACACAACATGGTCATAAAGAATCACCACTCTACAATATATAGACTCAATGTGGTTTGTAAAACACAACATGGTCATAACGAATCACCACTCTACAATATATAGACTCAATGTGGATTGTAGAACACAACATGGCCATAACGAATCACCACTCTACAATATATAGACTCAATGTGGATTGTAGAACACAACATGGTCATAACGAATCACCACTCTACTATCTATAGACTCAATGTGGATTGTAAAACACAACATGGCCATAACGAATCACCACTCTACTATCTATAGACCCAATGTGGATTGTAGAACACAACATGGCCATAACGAATCACCACTCTACAATATATAGACTCAATGTGGATTGTAAAACACAACATGGCCATAACGAATCACCACTCTACAATATATAGACTCAATG